ATGGTTTTTCAGCTTTATAAAGAATAAGACCCTTTCATTTAAAATCTCACCTCACAACCGTCCAATCAAATGCGAACAGAAAAACCACGTGATGACCCAGTACGCTAAACATTTTCCCGCTCATATGTTCTTTTTAAAACAATTTTACAGAAATAAATAACATATAAAAATCACGAATAAAAATACTAAATTATAAAGGAACGAAAAGTATAAAGTTACCCAAGCGTCAGCTTTGCTTTAATGTCCTCTTGACTTAGCGGGAAATGYTACCAAAGATAAACGATTTTACTTAAACACGCGTTCTATTGCACCCATGTCCACAAATATATAAATAAGTAATTCTAAGAGAAAAAGGCAATGTTAAGAGAATTCAATGACTTATCAAGGGGGGCTCAAAGTGAGATCTCAAAATTTAAGTATTTTTCAAGGAGTTAGAGCATCTCTTTGAGGGATTTCAGTTTCAAGGCTTCTGTGAACCTTGAAACTCCAAGACAACCCAGTGTGGAAATAATTGATCTTTTYCGAATTCGCTTGCGTGGCCACAAAACAATGGTCCCAAGCCGAGGTTGGAGTTGTTGTGTTCATACATTTACTGTATTTATCTGAGTCTAGCCTCAACTGGAAGCCATTGTTTCGTGGTCGCTCAGGCGAGTTCGGAAAAGGTCTAYSRTCCATTCATATTACAGCTCGTTTCATGTTTCTGGGACTTAACCGACTCGAGACGTCTGGCGTTTTGTGGCTGCCTTCAATAGAGCGTAAGTAAACAATAATAATCAATCAATTATAACAGGATCGATATCAGCCAAGGTACAGTCGTTCTCAGTCCCAAGTGCTTGTTTACGCCAGACATGAACTTGGTGGTCGCTGGACTACAAAGTGAACTATCCATGGTAACGTTAAAGCGTTGCTAGCACGAAAATCGTCCGAAACTTTACTGGATCAAATAATCTTTAAGTTTCTTTTAAGGATAGCTACGTGTTTTTTTTAATTTTTGGAGTGCCAAACCTTTTTACTTTGACAAAGCTGTTTCCTTGTTGCATGGAGGGCCTTTGTTGACTTAAAAAGAGGATCATGAATTTCTTCATTGAGTGAAAGGATAATGTCGGCTACAACCATTTTTTTCTTAATTATTGCGAATCTTCCAGTCCTCCCATCCCCCAATTAAAAACCTACTTTCCCTAATTTAAACACTAGTTAAATGTTTTTACCAATGGGAAGTATTATAATTTGTGAATCTTTAAAAGAGTCAATGAATAATGGCATTAAATCCGTCCAAATCCGAAGAAGTTATTTACAAAGGAATGTATTGAGCGATATATGACCTCGCAGACTTCTAAAAAAAACTATTCGCATATAAGAATATAGTATTTCCCATCGGAATATCAATCAAAAACTTACACCAGTGATTACAAAGTTTATTCCAATTGCGTTCATATCAGTGCCATGCAAGAATTGTACTCATCTCGAGCATCGTTCTCAGGAACTAATAAGTGTGCACACGCTCTTAACACACTTAAAACGTGTACAAACGCGAATCTTTTGGCAATAAACTGCTAAAATTAAAAATATAAATAAACCTAAGTCATAGAAGATTTATTGCTTCAATAGGCRCTGTTCTTTGTAGAATTAATAAGAACCCTATAGTTGAAACCAAGGTAGTTTTTCTTATCTATAACCGGTTTAACTTCTCGACTGAACTTTAGTAGTGTACTTGACAAGAAACTACAAAAGGGAATCGTCAAGTTTAGTTTATAACAATTTCTTTYCTTTCAGTTTATGTCTTTACATTTTTTCGCTCCTATATTTTCCACAGAGAGTCTTCAGCACGACAGCTATGCATGGTGTAGAACAAAATAATAGATTTTTTGTTATTTGAGTGAATGATCTGGTGTCTCAAACACATTGCATGTCGCGAACAATTCTATATTTTTATCTATTTTGCAGTTACATCCAACTGTAAGTACGCAATGAAGTCTCTGGTCATGGTATTCCTGTTCACAGTGATTATGAATGAAGGTAAAATGTTGATGTCGTTCAGTCAATATCATAACTGTTTTCTTTCATACGGAAAAATAACAAGTTGTGTCAGAAAAAAGTTTGAGAAGTGCGAGTATAAAAAACATATCGACAACAAAAATTTTCGTCTAGTTGAAACAGAGCTCTTTACCTGTTTCAGTTCTCATTTTCAAGATCACGTGTTATTCTCCTGAGAATGAGGTTTTTCGTTTTTCGTTGTACATGTGTCCATATTCATGTGTCTTCTCATACAAAATAAATGATACTAGTTAGAGAATAAAGTGGTCTGAATTAGGAACACTTATTTTACGGCCAATTGTAAATTCACCGTCTTTACACTGATCAACAGCTCAAAGCAGAACAATTGATTAAAAAAACTAGATAACATGTAAGAGAAGCGGTGACCGTTTCTTAATCATTGTCCAAAAATATGGCTTCGTGGTTCACCCCTTCCCTTTTTGACAAAAGCCATTTAAAGAAAAATTATTTTACGTTACCTTTCAAGTGATGTTCTCATCTTGCAAGAATATCATATTGAGTGAAAATGAAGGAAAAAATTTTCAAACGGACCACCAAGAATTTCAAGACCCGCAGGATGATGACCTTAAACATGAATGCTGTATCGAAGGTTGTAGTACCAAAGAGGTCCGTGAAACTGGAGACCAACGAGATCATGTTCAGGTACTGTGGAAAGTTATACTTCAACAGTAATGTCACTTATTTATTATAAACCTTCAGGGGTTTTGATCATTTCAGTCTTTACCTTCTCTGGGATCCTTAATAAATACTAAATTAAGTGTCAACACTGCTGTGGGTGTAGCTCGCCGCTTCCTCAAGCTGGAATAGCCATTAGTTCTGATATTAGAGCTCGTTGCTTTTGTGTCCCAAATTAGTTGTAGAAACTAAATACATCGACACTGAAATAAAGTTATTATTATTATTATTATTATTATTATTTATTGCTTCCCTTTTGGTTTTAAGGGTTTTCCTGGTTGTTCCGTTCTGTATTTTCTTGATTCCATGTACTTCGATCATGCCGAGTCTCTGGATGATTGAACTGGAATCGAGAAGTTGCCGATCGACCCGGGTCTCTCCACAGCCGCTTGCAGTGTCGTCACACAACGCTTTCTCGTGACGACACTGAAAGCRGCTGTGTCGCTACTGATAAGTGCTATTCTTAAAAAACACTCATATTTACCCGAACTTTCTCACAACTGATATTGTTTTCATATAATCTTCCTATTTAACCCATTTTTTTATTTTTTAGTTGGTTTATTTGTTTTAATGATTTTATTTTGTTGATATTTTTCAGTGGATAAAAGACAACTGTTAGCCTAATTACTTCCAGTTCCTGACAAGGCCTGATGAGCACAAGAATAATTAACGGGCTGTAACTAGTTTAATATTATAATCTTTCCAATTCGAAAAGCTAATAATATCTGTTATGTAATATTGAATTGTGCAAGTGAAARTCAGGAATAAAGGCAATGATCTTAACAATTAAACCAGTCAAATGCGTCAATTAATAGAATTTCCTTAAAAAGGRTGTTCTTTCCGTTTTCCAGATCAGCTAGTTTCATGTCAATCAAAATTTTACCATTTTTCGACATCRTTAAGTAGAGTGAGCTGTATGCTGATGCTACTATAGAGCATGCAGKTGCATGTTACGTCATTGCCGCCATCTTGGTTGACGATATCAAAGCATCTCTTGTAAGATCGACCAAGATGGCGGCTGTTTCATTGTTATTCATATCTCAAGGGATTTTGAGTCACGTGGTTGCACACACTCTATTGAGGTGCGATAGAAATGGGGAATATACACAATATACATAAGAGTCTTGCAGTTTTTTTAGGCAAGGAGCGAGTATGCGTTAAAAGTCATCAGAGTCATAACCAAGATTTTTTAGTTTGCTGGTCATAGTAAGGGGTTAATCATCTACGGTCTAGGGACCGACTAACCTCTCCCTTAGGTTTCGGCCGAGCTTACTGATCAGTCTGTAAATCTTCGGATAGCGGTGTCGGGGTCGAAATGTCCGGTGTAGCCATAAATACTTTATCTAGTCCAACTTCGATGGAACCGTTGTTTCGTGGTCACACAAGCGTATTCGGGAAAGGTCTATCGTCCATTCATATTACAGCTCATTTCGTGTTTTTTTTGGGGGGACTTGACTGACTCCAGACGTCTGGGGATTTGGCTGCCTTCCATAGAGTTTAAGTAAACTATTATAAACAATCAATTATAACAGGATTGATATCAGGTACAGTCGTTCTCAGTCGCATAAGTGCTTGTTTACGCCAGACATGAACTTGGTGGTCGCTGGACTACAAAGTGAACTATCCATGGTAACGTTAAGGAGCTGCTAGCACGAAAATCGTACTAAATTAAATCGCAACTTTACGTACTGCTGGATCGAATAATCTTTCAAGGTTCTAATAATTAAGGGAAAAAATTAAGGGGGGGGGGGGTAGGGAGGAGACTTGGGCTTCAGAGGAGTGGGTCATCAGTAAATTTTTTAACTTTCTTTGGAGTTTATTTTGACAAAATCGCTTCTCTTCCCTTTTTGAAGGGCCTTTGGAGGGCTACAATTATTTTAACGAATTTCACATCAGTGCCAAGCAAGAACCGCTCTCCGTTCTCAGGAACTAAGTGTGAAAAACACACTTAACACACTTAAAACGTGTGCAAACGCGAATCTTTTCAATAAACTGCTAAAATTAAAAATATAAATAAACCTAAGTTTAGATAAGTTTTCTTCAATAGGCGCTGTTCTTTGTACGGATAACATTTAGTTGAAACCAAGGTAGTTTTTCTTACTTATATCTGTTTAAGCACYTCTCGACTGAACTTTAGTATACTTTTCAAGAAACTACATGAGGGAATCGGCAAGTGTCGTTAATGGAACAATTTCTTATTTTCCGTTAACTTTCATAACAGCTATCTTTCGGTCCTTGTTTCTCAAGTGTTCAAGCACGACAGCTATGGTGTAAGACAAAATGATGAGAAATTTTCAAATCTGAACGAGCTTATGGTGTCTCTTGCCGAACCATTGTACTGTTTGCGCTAAGACTGATGACTATCGTGAACCATTCTATTGAATTTATGTTTTTATCTATTTTGCAGTTACAGCCAATCATCCGACTGAAAGTACGCAATGAAGTCTCTGGTCATTGTATTCCTTTTCATGGTTGTCATGAATGAAGGTAAAAATGTTCATATTGCCACAGGAATTTCAAACATCATTTAATGTTACTACACTAACATTTTGGAAGATCACTAATTTCGATATACTCTTTCTAATGAAAGCATTGTTGTCTTCTATAACTTATGAACTAAGGTATCTCAAGGGACACGCCCTTTTTCATATGGTCTAAGTTTACAGCCATTTTTGTGGTTAACTTACCACGTTTTTGCGTGCGTATTCTTGCTGTTGTTCTTTGTCTCTGTACGCTATTTGGAGTCAATCCGACGAGTTTTCGCCTTCTTACGGGCCTACCAATGTCATCATTGTAACAAGTTCACGTCAAAAGACCTGACATGTAAACGGGCCATGACAGAAATGCTCATCACTAACCGTCTTCACTATACATTTTCTTTGCACAGTGATGTTCTCTTCTTGCAAGAATATCATCTTGAGTGAAAATGAAGGAAAGAGTTTTCAATCTGACCCCGAAAGTCAAGCGATGAGTCACGAAGTCGTGAAGGATGGATGGGAGCTCGTGAGGGATAAAGGTCACGAAGTCGTGAATGATGGATGGGAGCTCGTGAGGAATAAAGGTCACGAAGTGGTGATGGATGGATGGGAGCTCGTGAGGCAGGATAGTAGAGGTCACGAAGTCGTGAGGGATGGAAGTCCGTGAAACTGGGGACCAACGAAGTAATGTCCAGGTACTGTAGAAAGTTATACTTTAACGATAATGTCACTGAGTATTTATTTATTATATATTCTATTATTCTATATTTTTATTGGCAGCAATCCAATGTAAATACGTTTATACGGAGCCAATGAAATACGTTGTCTTGTATTATAAACCTTCAGGGGTTCTAATCATTTCATTTCAATCTTTACCTTCTCTTTGATCCTTAATACTTAAATCAAGTGTCAACACTACTGTGGTTGTAGCTCGCTCCCTCAAAATTAGAATAGAATAATAGAATAAATCATTTATATAGCGCCAAAATCCTAAAGTGAATTGCATCATATCTTATTAGAGTTCGTTTGTTCTCTTTTGATTTTTAAAGTTTTCGGGTTATTCCTTCATCAATGCATTTAATTTCTCACGACTGAAATTGTTTTCAAATAATCTTTTTATTTAACCCCATGCCTTTTCTAGTTGATTTATTTGTTTTAATGATTTTGTTCTGTTGATGTTTTTCAGTGGATAAAAGACAACTGTTAGCCTAATTACTTCCAGTTAGTTCTTGATAAGACCTGATGAGCACAAGAATAATTAACGGGCTGTAACTAGTTAATATTGGTCTTTACTAAAAGCTAATAATATTGTAATGTAATATTGAATTGTGCAAGTGAAAGTCAGGAATAAAGGCAATGATCTTAACAAACCACTCCAATGCGTTAATTAATAGAAGAACTTTGTTAAAAAGGGTGTTCTTTTTTTCAGTTACAGAATTTAGAACATTTTTTAAAAGATAAGGAATTCATTATTACCCAATGTCAAATATAAAATGATGTTAGCAATATTATTTCTCACGCCGGTTCTTAGCCCGGCGTAGCCTGCGTCACATCCGGAATATTCTTCGAAGCAAATTCCGGATGTGATGCAGGCTAAGCCCGGCGTAAATCCCCCCAAAAATATAGAGCAAGCACTTTACCTACGAAAAAAAAAAAAAGAAAAATATAGTGCACCTCTCCTTTCAGAACTCGGAAAAAARTTAGCGAGTGAGAATTGGAGCAAGTCTAAATCGTAGGCGATCTCGTACCCAGTCCTCCTGCGCCATCCGGTCGTCAGCCCATGGCAAGACCGCTGACCAAAAGKCCGGAAGACTCTGGGCTCAGGGATTAAATCGTACTAGGACGATTTGGCTAACGAGTAGGGTCTGGAAAAGGGGAATGCCGTGAATACGAGGGATGGACTTAAAGCTCACGGCAAGGCCTAAAAATGATACATCTTGTGTCCCTTCGGGGCTCTACCAGTCCCTTCGGAGAGGTGGGTCCGAGGAATACAGCAACTACCCCTGAGAAAGGTTTTCGCTTTTTTGCGACGTGACCGATCAATAAAAATATCAAAACAAGTTTAAAAGTTTGTTATCGCAGCCATTTTACCATCTTAAAAAAAGTGTACTGGGAAGCTGGACCGCCTAGTTCACGAGATACTGCTCATTCAAACAAGGAAACCTAAATTAAACTCTGTGCGTGCAAAAGTTAAAGTGCACCCACTATCCCTGGATACAATAAGTTTCAGTATTGATTCTACATCAAGTGATGAATAGTTGAATGGTGAAATATTTCTTCAGAATGTCGCGTGTTTACTAGTAAGTTATATACGTTTATTATTCCAATATGTTACTGACTGTGACGTCATCCCAGGCTTCATTAAACATAAAAATTTTGGCTGGTTCACACGAACAGTATTTAAAAAGCATCATCATTTATATTCAAGGTTTCAACAATGTTTATGGTAAATGTGATGTCTCACAATAACTAGAGCTTAACATTAAGAACTAAAACAAATACGTACACTCAAAAGTAGCCTGGGGTGATGTCACATTCAGTAACATATTGGATGTATAAATCATATCTTGAGATGCAAAATTCAAAGGAAGCGAATACTTCACCTTTCAACTATTCACTCCATGTAGAATCAATACTGAAAGTACTGTATCAGAGGTTACGTGCACTTTAAACCTGAACTGACTTTATATTATTCATATGCTTTGACGTTATTCTCTCTCCGGAAAACGGGTGTAACGAGTTCATGTTCTAGTTGAATACAATGCATATCGCACATGGTAGTGTATTGTTTTTTTATAGTATGCATTGTGCATGCCTTGTCTTCTATTGACATTCTATTTCGTTTATAGAACATGAACTTGTAAACAGGAAATCGTTAATAAATATAACGATTTTACTGAAACAATATATACTATCCAATAATTGAAATAAAGCCAGTTATATAATGGTTTTCATAAACCCGTGAAAGTACATATGACACGAATTTTTTTAAATTTTGAAAATGTGTAGTTTATTGGCACTAATATGAATATCATGGTTTAAATTGTTTCAAAAACGTATTTCTCTAGATAGTTAACAATATTTAGCACAAGTTGTGACGTTATTTTGTACATGTTTACAAGTCTTTTTCTCGTTATTTTATACAAACTACATTTTATATCATTATGATTTGGTGCACTACTACCGATATCAAGTACGCTTCAACAAAATGACGTCACAAATCGTGTTTAATTTTCTGAAATATCTCGAGAAATAAGTTTCARATTTCATCATGAAATTCTTATTATTTCAGTACTAAGAAACCAAATATTATATAAACAGTGAAATGTTTTTGTGCCATAAACCCTTGAAACTAAGTGTACTAATTAGAGTGTWATAGTCCGATAAACACAATAMAAAACAAAAGAATTAGAGTGTAATAGTGTATTAGCTATTTCAAGTGTATTTCACTTTAGGTTTATATAAACCTCTCTATTATATAATCCGTCTTCAATCAGTTGCAGATCTTTGTGCAGATAGGACTACTTCGAATCCAAGCTAACACCAAGGTAGTTWATTTTTTTAATTATTGCTAGCATATTTTTCTACATAGAGGTGTTTAGCACCACAACTGATGGTGCACACAAAAACTTTGTGAAACATTTTATTGAATTTATGTTTTTGTTAACAATTTTGTAGTTATACAGCYAATCACCTAACTGAAAGTACGCAATGAAGTCTMTGGTCATTGTATTCCTGTTCATGGTTGTCATGAATGAAGGTAAAAATKTTCATATTGCCACAGGAATTTCAAACAGCTTTCTATCATTTAATGTTACTACACTAACATTTTGGAAGATCACTAATTTCGATATACTCTTTCTAATGAAAGCATCGTTGTCTTCTATAACTGATGAACTAAGGGATCTCAAGGTATCTCGAGGGACACGCCCTTTTTCATATGGTCTAAGTTCACAGCAATTTTCGTTGTTAACTTACCACGTTTTTGCGCGTGTATTCTTGCTGTCGTTCTTTGGAGCCAATCCGACGGGTTTGTCTTTTTACTGGCCTACCATGCAATATAGTGATATATTATATTACTGATATTATATTTGTAACACCTTCATGACATTTTCTTTGCACAGTGATGTTTTCTTCTTGCAAGAATWTCATCTTGAGTGAAAATGAAGGAAAGAGTTTTCAATCTGACCCCGAAAGTCAAGCGATGCACAAGCGTACGTCGCTTCATGAGGAATGCTGTCACGAGGGATGYRACACTGAAGAGGTGCACGAAAGTGGATACCCAGGAAGTGCATTGCAGGTAGAAAGTTATCCTTAATTCACAGGTAGCCCAAGCTACAATCTTGGACAAAAAAGTTGAGAATTTTTCATCCAATCATGAAATAGTAGAATTTCCCCTTATTACAAAAACTTTATTGTCCGTACCCCTTCTCCCCCAGGACAATGTTGGTCCCAACAGGAAAAGCAGCCCTGTCGCCCTCGAAACAACATTGTTTTAAGGGGAATTTTCATTTTTATTTCATATTTTGAAGAATTTATTGAGCTTAAGTATCGCCATACATTTTTTTATAACATGACATTACAGATACCTAGCTTGGGCTACCTGTGACTTTAAGACGCTCCCTCCCTGGGTGAGGTGGTGCACAGGCTAATTTTTGGAAACCGGGATTTTATTTTTTAATCTTCATAAACCTCAGAAGTTTTCGGACCATTTCAATCTTTCTTCGATCGGGAGGGGGAATGTACATTCGGAAATTAAATGCCAACCCCGCTGTGACGGTAGTCTCGTTCCCTGGAAGAGTATTTGCATTGGCAGAATAGTTGGCTTATTACGGGGGAGACTTTTACAATGCGCGGGATTTTACAGTATGCGGTATTTCTAATTATATMATACGGTRTTTCCCAMAACATTGTTTCCAAATAATTTAACCCGATTTTTTTTCTAGTTGRTTTATTTGTTTTAATTATTTTATACTATTGTTATTTTTCAGTGGATAAAAGCCAACTGTCTACACTAAACTTCTTCAAGTTCCTGATAAGACCTGATGAGCACAAGAATAATTAACGGGCTGTAACTAATTAAATATTAATCTTAATTCTAAAAGCTAATAATATTGTNTGTCAAATATAAAATGATGTTGGCAATATTATTTCTCACGCCGGTTTAACAGAAACTCGACTCTCCTTTTGATCCGTGCTGAAGATGGTTTTTTAGCTTTATATAGAATAAGATTCTTTATTTGACATCTCATCTCACAACCGTCCAATCAAATGCGCACGGAAAACCACGTGATGACCCAGTACACTCAACCTTTTCCCGCTCATATGTCCTTAACTCTTCTTACAAATATTCTAAGTGCCAGAAATAACAATGATAACATAACATAACAATGAGATCCCATAATGCACCGCGTATGCATATATTAACCCGCCATCGGGCCTTTGTCACAGTTCCTCTTGACATCCTCCCGAGGAGCAAGTGCACATCGTGACGTCCCCCCTCAGTTCCCTTGCTTGATTTCCGCTCTTATTTTTCTTCCAAAATTGTACAAACGCATGTCATTCCGGAGTGATTCCGTCTCAAGAACAAGCTCGGGACACCCCAGTTTTCTTTGCATTTTTGAAATCAGCATTAAATTTCAGGTTAAAAAAGTTTCAATTTTCAATTTTCTGTTTATTATTTACCAGCCACCTTAAATAACTGAAARGTTGAGTGCAAGCGTCAGCTTTGCTTTGCTGTTATTCTCTCTCCTCCGCAGCCGTCATTAAAATTAATGTATTTTATAATTAATGCTTATTGCCAAAATTAGTTTATATTTAAGAAGGTCCAGTACTACAATGCCTGCCGTAGGTTAGAGAGAAGGCATTTAACCCGTGAAATAAAAATCATTAGTCAGCGTGTAATAGTCAAATAGACACAAAAGAAAACAATGGAATTAGGGTCTACTAATGTGTATTAGTCTAATATCTATTTTATGGGTTTAATGACTTTACTCTAACACTTTAGTCCTTTTTGCTTTAGCTTTTTAACGCACCACTTGATTGTATTTTATCAATGTGAATAAAGACCTATTATTATTATCATTATTATTACTGATTATTATTATTATTATTATTATTAGTTTCGGTCTCAAATAGCTTCTTCTGAGGAGACTAATTCTCTCTAGACTTAAAAGTTACCAAATATAAACGACTTTACTGAAACAATACTCTATCCAATAATTTTGAAATGAAGCCAATAATAATCTTATATAGTCTTGTTTTAAGTTAGTTTTTATCAGTGTTTATTCTTTGTCAAGTCCTTATTTCATGGGCGCATCAATTGAAGTTATAAACTTAATTTGTTTTATTGCAATTATAATTTCACTTATTG